GGGTGTTGACGACGCACGGGGTGGATTCAGCAGCAGGGTTGTAAAGAAGCTGTGACACACAGTTAGTGGTTCTGTGGTTCATGTCTGAAAGAGACTACATGTGGTCGCTCCCAAAATGGAATCAGTGTCATGTCGGTGCACATGACCCAAAACCATGTGTTTTCAGGTGACAAGTTCATGTGTCAAGCTCAAAATGACCAACGCAATAAAAGCTAGTGAAATAGCAATTCCTGAGAAAATGCAGTGCGACTGCTTATTGCTGAAGAACTTGCTTAAAAAAACAGCTGAAATTAGCTTAAAAAAATCCGAAACAAGCCTAAATAAGCAGAAGAAATCAGAAAGAACACATATTTGCTGAATTATGTTTAAATAAGCAGAAATTAGCACAAAAATTAGGAAATTAGCTAAAAAAAAAGGGGCTGAAATGACCAAAAATAAAAGCTGAAAAGTAGCTGTGTATGCAGAATTTATTTTATTTTATTTATTTATTTAACCTTTATTTAACCAGGCAAATTCCACTGAAATCACAGATCTCTTTTGCAAGGGAGGCTGAATCCTCCATGGGCCAGAAAGACGCTTAAACCACCAGAAGGAAGTGTAATGAGCTGCAATGAGCAAAACAAAAGTAGAATTAGCTGAAAAAGCCTAAAAAAAAGCTACCATTTAGCACAAACACAGCTAAATGGTAGCTGACATAGCAGAACAAGCTGAAACTATCAGAAATAAGGTGAACGAGCATAACAAGCTGAAATCAGCAGAAAAAAAGTTAATTAGGCTGAAAGTAGCAGAAATTAATACAAAAAACTAATTTATCTGAAAACATCTGAAAAGGTAGAACAAGCTTAAATTAGCAGAAGGAAGTAGAGAGAGCACACAATTAGACTAAAAATAAAAAGCCAATCCAGAAATGAGCACAAAAAAGTCAAAATTATCTGGAAAAATAAAAATAAATTGGTAGAAAACAGCTGAAAAGTAGCTAAAATAGCAGAAAGAAGCTTAAATTATCTGATGGAAGTGGAGAGAGCACAGCTATTGTTGAATTAGACTGAAAAAAGTTTGCATGCAAAAAATGTGGAATTAGCTGAAAAATCTAAAATTATCATAAAAACAGCTAAATAGTGGCTGAAATAGTAGAAAAAGCTGAAACTTGCAGAAAGGAGCTGAAAGGAGCATAACAAGCTGAAATTAGCAGAAAGAAGTTGGAAGAAGCACAAAAATGTTGTAGTTTGCAGAAAGAATCTGAAAGGAGCACAAAACAGATGAAAGTAGCTGAAAAAATAATTAAATTTGCACAAGAAAGCTGAAAGAAGTAGAACAAAACGTGAACGGAGCAGTAAAAGGTTGTAAACAGTTGTAAAGATTTGAAGGATATAAAATGAGCTCAAGTCATTTTCTGTGAGGAAAAAATGTCAAAAAAGACTAAATATTTCAAAAAGCTAAAGTTGCACCAATGCCAAATGTCATAGCAGCACCCTTCTCCTGAAAGAGCTGAACAGTTTGATATATGATTTGTTGAAATAGCATAAAAACGGTGGAACGAGAAAGATGCTGAAAAATGTTCGGAAGTCAAATGGATCACAATAGTGTGAATGCTTCATAAACATTCACACAACAAGTAAAATGTGATTAGTAGGGGTAAAACAGGATGCAGCCTGGCTACCAAAATTGGCAACAACGGCAGGTACTATTCTTTCCATTCTTTTCCCATGAAGGGCCGAGATGGTGTAGAGGTAGGGCAGCGGACCTGGGACCAGAAAGTCGCAGGTTCAACTTCCCACCATGCCCACATGTCGTGGTGTCCTTGAACAAGACACCTAACCCTGCTCCCCGGACGCTTACATAGCTGCCCGCTGCTCCACCTGGGTGCATCTCACATATGATGGGTTAAATGCAGAGAACTAATTTCACTTTACTTTATTTACGCTTCTTATACACTTCAGCTCCACAAATTAAAAATATGGCAAGACACTAAAGAACAACATTGTTTGTGCTGCACTCCAAACAGAGCTCAAGCTTGGAAAACAGAGCCTTGTTTACGGGTATTATCAGCCTCACATATTCTCACTTTGAAGTGGCAGATCAGAAAGCGGTCTTCTGGAAATAGTGTCTTGTGTTGAGATGTATCCTCCAACGCACCGATTTTGCGCCTGTCTTTGAATAAGTCCAAAGACGTTCTTCCCTGCTTTTAAATATAATGGTGAAAACAGTCTCACAGTTTGGGCTTCGAATTTCTCAGTTAGCTCAATGTAACAAAGTACAAGATGTTCCCGAGCATTCTACTCTCTTTTTTTCAAGTTGCCACGAAGGTTTGGGCTTTTACAGTGTGTTTAATTTGTTTTGTGTGACACTTTTTGGTTGATTTCTCATATTTTATAATGTTTTAAGTCATTAATCACTTTAGATTTTTTTTTTTTGTGTGTCTTTGTCAGATTTATCTCTTTTACACAAATGTTGTGCGATATTACTGCAAAGACTCTTTCTTTAGACCGTTCATAAATCACCACTTCAACCAGTTATCATAAATTAGCCCAGCATCACAGCTATGTGGTGTGTTTACATCTGCCATGTTAAATAACATAGCCAAAGTGTTCCAGTGACTGTGTCGTCACTACGACATATTCTCATGCCACAGTGCAGGTCTCCTCTAACATACTGATTGTTTCACCAGAAATCATCTCACCTGGTGGCTCAGAGGCATAACAGCAGCAAGTTGACTTTAAGACTCTCGCAAAACAGCACTTTCCAAGAGGATACGACTTTTCGCATCACATGTAGTACATGAGGTGGAACGAAAGTTCCCAGTTACACCCAAAAATAGCAAAGATATAAAGTATAAAACAGAAAGAGTATACAAGGTTATGAGATATATGCTAAACAATAATAATATAATATGAATAAGGTGTATTGAACAGCAGCCTGATGCCTTTGATGTAGCCATAACGACAAGCCCCTTTTTAGGCCGACCCCAACTCTACATCAGTGGTGTTGACGTAGAGCGGGGTTATTCAACTGGTGGCCCAGGGGCCAAATCAGACCCACGGTTGAACTCAGTTCGGCCCACCATTGGGTTCTTTTTTAAATAAAACTATATTTTAAACCATAAAACAAACTTACCGGTACTTAATGTAACGTTTCCCCTACCATTATACCGAGCGTCCTGCCTACCGATCCGAACACCCCACCTCCCTGTTGACAACTGCCAGCACTGACATAGCGCTAAGCTAGTGGTGCGCAATACAGAAGTGCTAGCTAAAAATCTCAGGTTACCTCATGCTTTCCATCACCCCCCCCCCCCACACCCCCCACACCCCATACCTTCCTAAGTAAATTAAGACAATTTTCTTATTCATAAACGGAATTATAACATTGTCTTGCAAAATGAATTTATAGAAAGAGATATTTTAATTAATATTAATAAATATGGGATGTTTCATAAATATATTTTATTGTTATCAAGTAATTATTTCCAGTACATTTTCCTTAATCTAGCATATTCAACGGCGATCCGTGCGATCTGGAAGTATTCCTTTTAGTGCGCGTGCAAATGAGCTACACTATGGATCGTGCTTCCGTAACAGAGCGGGCAGTGACAGCCCTGATGTAGAGGTTAACGTAAAATGATGGACATCTCCTCACACATACAGTATGTTGGGCATTCTAAACCCTGCTGGTCACACAGATCACATCACACCGTGGAACCGCGACGCCAGCTTTCCTTTTACATGTTGCTATTTGCTGAGCTCTTGCAGCCTTAGAGACGTGGCCGTGGCGGGTTGACTTTAACCTGAACCTTTAACTCCTGAACCTCCCTGCATTTGGAACATTAAACATTAAACCAACACTCATCGTGACAAGTGCCTGCATGTACTAATACATGCTGTATTAATATCAGCACAGAAAGGCTTATTACAGACGGCGAGGGAGTCTCGTCTCTTACTCCTGACATGCTGTGAATGTGTGAGGGTGTGCACACTTCTATTTCCACCTTCTGAGCACTCTCCAACTCTAAAGTATTTTCTGTTGTACGGATGACGCCTCTGTTCATGTGTGAAAATCTTACTCAACAAGAGGCCTATAAAGTACACATTTTGGAAAACAAATGGGAAATTGGGCATTTAGAATGTCCTTATCTGCATTTAAGGAAAGACTAAAAATCACTTCAATTCAGTTTTTTTACACAGCGCCAAGTCATAACAGAAGCTGTCTCAGGACACTGTACAAAGACATTCACATACATGAAAAAAAACAATTAGTTGTTATCTATTGAAGAAAATTCAGCTGCTGAAATTATTTTAAATGAGTTTCATAATGCAGTGCTCCCCAACACTGGTCCCTGAGGAACACCATCCTGCATGTTTTAGTTATTCCTCTGCTCCAACACGCCTGATTTGAATAAAAGTGTGATTAACAGGTTTATGCCAAACTTAAGGAAGTATTTAAACCACTGATTCAGGTGTGTTGTAGCAGAGAAACAACTAAAACACGCAATGATGGTGTTCCTCAAGGTCTAGGGTTGGGAACCCTTGTAATGAAACTTCTGTCTACTGTTTTTTGTTGTGTCATTCCCAACATGTAACCCTCTCATTCCCAGCATTAGGAAAAAAAGGACTTTACAGCCACCGACAGCCTTGATGAGTCCTTATCATTGTGACTGTAGTTTTAGGAATGCACACAATCAGGAATGTGTGTGTGAGAGAGAGAGAGAGAAAGAGAGAAAGCGAGAGAGGGGGTATCATAAAATCCAGAATGCCTCCTGATGTGAGGAGGTGTGAACAGCTATGTGTGTCGCAGAGGCTGGGGGTCCACCCACCCACTTTTTGTGCTGAAGGTCCAAACCCTGCACAGACACACTTAAAACAAACCAGCATGAAACACACACACATGCGCATGCCTCAAAGCAGCCGGTGATGTCTGACAAAGCTCCGGCTTCAGTCTCTTCTCTCAGCGCAGGAGGTCATGAGGGCAGCCTCTCATTCATGTCTCTCTTTGTTCTCTTGCAGTCCGCTGCTTCTTCAGATGGTGGTGAGTACCAGTCCTCTTTTTTTTTTTTTACTTTAAAATTCATTGTTTGTTGAATATAAAACAGCACAAGTCATGTTACTATTTATTAACAATTTCAAGCTTCTTTTTTAATCGCCTGTTTTTAACTACCAAAACAAAACTCTTGACCAGTTGGGCGTTCTGTTCCTCTTTATTTGCTCAGTAAACCATGCTAATAAAAGCTTCATTCACTGTCGGCAGCACGCCTCATTAACAAAGGGTATTTGTCGGGAGCGTTTGGGTTCCAGTCTGGGTTGGAGTGCACGCCGTCTGGTCGTTCCTCTTTATAGAACTTTAGACTAGTGGTTCCCAACGTTAGAGGTCAAGAAACTGCACGTGTGGGGTGTATCCAAAGTGCGGTCCGTGGGCCATTTGCGGCCCTTGGAGTGATTTTGTGCGACCCACAACTGCAGTTTAAGAATGGTATCATTTTGACCAGCAGGTTTAAGAGGTCGATTTAGACTTTCTGCAAATTTGTTGGTAATCCTTTTTTATATATTATTTAAGTTGAACAGCAAAACAGATGAAAAACAATCTTCTCAAAATCAGCAATATTAAGCAAAATGCAAACTTTTGGCTATGCTATTTTTATTTTCACTTCATGCTACAAAGCACTAAAAACCTTTATTGATTTATACCAGAAAGGAGACTTTTGGATAATGATTCATAAAACGTGTCTAAGTATTGCAGTTGTAGTGAACTAGACCTCCGACATCAATCTGTCTCTGAAGACCTTCAGGGGACAGGAACTGTTATTTCATTGATTTGAATCCAGAAATACAAATTATCTCATCAAGAGACTATTTAATTGTATCCTGAATTAATCAATTGAAAGAACACTCTTCTTTTTTATATTATCATTAACTATTTTACAATATCTTGATAATCAAAAGTGTGTTTAGTTCATACCATTTCTAAATGTTGAAGTAAATCACTCATTTAAATTAACTGTGAAACAGTATTAATGATTTTTAAACCTCATTAGACTTGGATCATACAAGTAAATGTCTATTTACAAAGTAAGTGTGCATTTAGTCTTCTGTCTGAATGAGGAGTAGTGGATTTGAGGGCGAAAGTCAGAGACAAGTTATGAGAACGAAGTGCCTTGTTTTTAAAACTCTCAGACAGTAAATAAGAACTGGCTGGCACCTGTTTTCTCTCATTGTTCAAAACATTTCTCTGTCTGTATTAACCGTTCTTAAAACATTTCTGCTGTCTCCTGACTTCTAATAACCCTCTGACATCACTAAAACTACACCCATGCTGGTTGTTTCAACCAATCAGGAAGTACCAAGTGACAGGAAGTGGATACCCTTTAAAAGGCAACACTTCAGTCTTCACGAGTCTTCCAAGTCTTCAGTCTTTTTCAGTCTTCCTGGAACTTTCAGTCGAAGATGAGACTCAGTCTGATGGAGTCTTACAGCTGAACTAAGTAGCTGATGGATTTGACCATGTGCCAAGGGTCCGTCCATTCCAGCGTAGTCACAGCCTGCCTCGGCTGTGACTCAAACCGAGCAATAAATGCTCAACTTCTAAGGAAGCCTATTCTGTTGAACTGAGTACTTCGTCACAACTTCTGACGACTCCAGCCACTCTGACCGGAGACGTTGAAAAGGGAGCGTACCAATGGACCTCTGTTCCGGAGTGGAAGTATCCACCATCTCAAGCCGTAACATAACAAGCCGTTGACGCCCTGAAGTGTACCGGAGGGCTGAGCTGGATTTGGAGGAAGGGTGCCATTTTCTGGTTCAACACATAACTTTCATCCATCTAAACCTCCTCTTTAAATCTATTCCTTCTCTTAAACTTCTATTCGCCAGTAAATCAAGCTAGATGCCTTCAGAGATGAATCAGTCTCAATCAGTAATCTTCTGTTGTCTTGTTTGGTAAATCGTGCCAAGAGTATTAATCAGAAACAGATCAGCAAATCAACGTGTACATGTTTGATGTTAAATTTTGATTCTGTTAAATAAATGACCGCATTTATTCTGATGGGTCAAAGATAAAATGGCGTCTCATGTCACTAATTATAATAATAATAATAATAATGTCATCACAATGTCAGCACTGTATGTTTCCATACAATGGCGAAATTAGTCTCTGCATTTAACCCATCCACCACCAGGTGGTGCAGTGGGCAGCTATTGAAAGCGCCCGGGGGACATTTTGGGAATTAGACGTGCTGCCCAGAGACGCCACGTGATGTGCAGTGACTGGGGATCGAACCTGGGACTCTCGGGTCCCAAGCCGGCTGCCCTGCCTTTACACCATATACACTCAACTACACAAGTTATCTTGGTCACATGGCAGAAATTTAACTCGAAAAAGAAAGAATCCCTGTTGATTAAACAATTAATATTCTTTGTGCTTGAACTAGCTTTAAGAATAATTAATTAGTAGTATGTCACAGCGAAAGCTGTCACTACATCACTACACAGTTGATAAAAACTCAAGATATTTTTAAACGAATATAACATGGTATCATCTACATACGAGTTGATCGACTTTATCAAACTTTCTATGAATCTGTTGTAGTGACCCCCTTTTAAAAGGACACACTCAAATTATGCTTTTGTTGCTGAGAACAGACTAAAATGAACTTTCCAAGCACAAGAAAACAACAAACGTAGATCCAACAAATTAAATAAATCAAATCCTTTTTAATAAAAAATATAAGCTTAGTGTTTATGAGGCTTTTAATGTTTTGGATCTACAACAATTTAAAACTCTTTCTCCACCAAAATTAGTAAACTTTTGTCCTTTCTCCAAAATATTGTTCATGTTGAGTTAAATTCACATTTTTGTCGCCCACGAGTCCTATCTTCTGGATATTTTGGGCCCTCATATGAAAACATTTGAACACCCCTGGTCTACAGGTTAATGCAGATTATAGACGCAGACGAAAGTTCCTGGAGAAACTTTGACTGGGACTGCCAGGCTGATGCCAGTTTAAAATTTTGATTTGACATTAATGTGTGCTTGAGTTCGCTTTCAACTAACACTATTTCAATTCAACATGACAAAAAAAATCAATGAGATATAATCACTTTTCATTTAGCTAAGGCAACCATCTTGGATTTTTGATTTGGATTCAGTTTTTAATGGGCAGTGCTGTAAGGTACCGACATACCAAATTTCAGCTGAACAGCTCTAAAGTTGGCTGAGTTATCATATTTTTCCCTTTTTAGCTAAGGTGGCCATTTTGGATATTTGATTTACATTATGAATGTATAACAACTCACTATCAACTACAACCATACTAAATTTCAGCTCAATTTATCAAATAATGCCCGAGTTATAGTCATTTTTATGCTTTTTGAGGTAGCTGTGGCAGCCATCTTGAATCAAAATGTTAACAGTTCTAGAGATATTTTTGATGATTTTTTTTTTCTGTGAGTTTCAAACAAATCCTTCAGTGACTTTAAGATTTCTTCAGGGACCTCAACACTCCAAGTCATGTGACCTCACAGCAGTTCTGTCAGGCGTTTTGCATAAGAAAAATTGCATCTTCGTGTGCAAATTATGTCGCCATGGTAACTTGAAACGCCAATGAAAGTAATGGCACCCATCACGGTGCCAAGCCGGTTGTTTTGATATAACATTTGTGGGGGTACACTTTGTATACTTGGTTCAGTTGGAGTCACAAGTTTTTTCCTCTTTATTTGTGGGTCATAGGCTTAAAAGTTCAGGAACCCGTCACTGTGATAGCGAGGAGTCCAGCGCAGATGTTTTCACAGATTTCTTGGTTCTCTCAAAAGCCATCTCACTGACTGAGCAGCACAGATTCCCAAAGTCTTAACACAATGAATCAAGACCAAACTGATCATTCAGCAGCGCTGAACTAAAGAAACCCACGTCGTTATTAGCATAGTGGACTCAATTTCAGCGACACAGCTGCTGAGTCAGCTGAACCAAGAGATAGTGTGGGTTTAAAAAGTCATGCTGAGGCCTTAGTCACTCTTTGTGATTGCAGATACTTTTTACAATGTTTTTTTTTTTTTTTTTTTTAAATGTCTTTTCTCTCCACAAGCTGAACTTCGGCTGTTTGAGGCTTCATCCCGCTCGTACGGACGTCTGAGCAGACCCACTGCACCGTATCTTATCCGACCGAGCAAACGTTTCAGTCAAACGCAGAAAGAAACTCGGTTATTTTTGTCTCTCCATGACAACCGGTCCCCTCCACAGAATATCTGTAACCGCTGCTCCTCTGTGATGCTTTTGTTTTGACTCCACGCTCTTCTCTCGCTCTGCCCTCAGCTCTGAAGTGGCCATCTGCTGCCGTGATAGCAGGTACCAATCAGGACTCGGGCCCCTACTTTAGCTGACCACCAGCTCCTCTAACGGCGCCCACTTTTACTCCTTGTCCTCCCTGTAATCAGCCACTCTCCCCACTCTTTTTACGTCTCCTTTTATGTTGGGCTCGCTTTACTGCTCCCTCCCTTTACAAAGTGAGCAACATCTGCTGTTTCTTTTATTTTGTGGGTTGCAGTTAGGTTTTCTTGCCCTGCGCTCCACATTTCCTCTCAACTTGCGAATCATTTCTTTCTCGTACCGTAAAACGTTCACCTCCGTAGCCTCCTGCCTGTTCATTCGATCCATTTAAACAGTTAGTGTCGCCTTTTAGAGCAGCTTCTGTCGCCATGTATTTGTAGAAAAACGTCCATTCCCTTAAGCTAAACGTTGCTGTTCTATTATTCTAGTTTTAGCTGAATTACTGTAGCGGCGATAGTAATAACTGCATCTGATCCACTTCTGAGGCTCCTGGAAGATGGTTGTGTTTGGTGTTTCTGACAACTAAAAGTAAACAAGTGACATTTTCTTTATTTTGGGGGGTGGGTGGAGGGGGGGTTAAATAATTGCATAAAAACACAAAGAAGTCTCTAAGGAGACAGATAAAGGTAAAAAAAAAAAAAAAAAAAAAAAAAAAAAAAAAAAAACTAAGGGAAATGCAACCTGCCAAAATCTACAAAATAAGCCTTTGAAAGGAATAGTTTAAAAAAAAAAGTTGCTTCAGTGGAGTAGCTATGAGCAGTCAGAATCTTACCTGCTGTCTGAATGATATCAGCTTGAAGACTGAGAGAAATTCTCATTGGAGAGTCAGTAGTCCCTCGTTTATCACGGGGGCTAGGTTCCAGCCACACCCTAAACTCTAAACTCTTAAACCTATGTCATTTTAACAACATACATACAGTACTATATATGCAGCTACTAAATTATACTTACTAGCTCTGCAGAACACAGTATCAGCTCTTGATTCTGATCCGACTCAGTTCCGTTTCTGCAGACGTGCCCTGCAGCAATGAAGGTCACAAGCACTGTTCTAAACTCTTAAACCTACTAATTTTAACAACGTACTATATTTTCTGCCGTACCCGTCGCACCGTCCTATAAGTCGCATCAGTCCAAATACATTTAATAAAGTGGAAAAATCCATAAATACGTTGCTTCATTGTATACGTCGCATCTATTATGCATCACCGCTGACAACCTGGAAATGTGGGCCGGTGTTGTGCCAAAAATCAATTGGCTGCCAAATGGCGGACGCGGGAGCGTGCACAGGAGGACTTTAACAAGAATTTAACAAGATTAACACTTCAAAACAATTATTTGTTTGCTCGACATTATAGCAAAGTTGTGTCTCAGTTGAACTTTTCCTTAATAAATGCACGTTGACGGTCAAATCAGCTGCATTTCACGCGCAGAGGGCGACTCGCTGTCCATTTCTCCTAAATTTAACAAGATAATCTCCTAAAAATTTGTTAGCTCGACTTTATAGTAAAGGTGTGTCTCAGTCTAGCTTTTACTAAAAAATGCACTTCAATGATCAAATTATAACAATAAAGAATCTCTGACTCTGACTGAAGTTAGCTGCATTAGTCAGAATGAATGAAAACAGTTATATCTCAGTCAAAATTTGTTTATAAATATGGGAAAAAAATCCATAAATACGTCGCTTCAGCGTATAAGTCGCAGGGCACGCAAATTATGCAAAACACTGCAACTTATAGGCCGAAAAATACAAAATTTTATTTAATAGTTCTGCAGAATGGCAGCAGCTCGGTTCCGCTCCGACCTGAGAGAAAAAAGTAAGTCCCGGTGAGCTTCGGTTGGAACGCCGGACCTTCGGCGGTGCGTCCCTGCTTGGAAGTCCTCATGGGCCGGCTAGGAGCTCTCAGGTTCACCGCTGAGTCTGGGAGTTTGGTTCTGTGCAGCCAATCAGCGCCTGTGTTACACAGCTCAACGCTCTGTTTCTTAAAGAGACATGTCCTGACATGATTTCTTTCTTGTGAATCTGACGTTTGTAAAGTTTAAATTTTCTTAAATAAACTCGTCCAAGTGACATGATTAAAATCGTACATTTGAAAAGCCGGTTCAGCTGTCATGACTTCGCTTTGCAAAAATATTGTTCAGCAGAAAGCAGCGGCTGGAGGCACTACAGTACAGTATTGGCTTCTGGGAAGAAAACTACAAAATGGCGGCGCCAGTCCGAATTTATCATAAAAAAAAACCCTTTTCCCAACCACGTGAGTACAGTAATATTACTGTAAATTTGACAATCGTGTACTGTACGGCGCTGCACAATTTTTTGTTGTTGACAAACGGCGATGGATCGTGTCCGAGAAAGTCGATCCGCGATGTAGTGAGGGACTATATTGACTGTCTGTGTTTAAACATGAAACATGTTTTGTGTGAAAGGCAGAAATAATGCTGTGTAACAACTGAAGCCATCAGCTGAACTTTAATAACATTCTACGCTTCGAGTTGTTTTAGAGGCTCAAATCTGCTCTAGAACTGGCTACAGTCTGACGAGCTGCTGGTTTGATTCCTCCATGAGAATTTCTCCTCACATCTTCAAACTGAGGCCTGATCTACACTATGATTTTTTTTTTTTTCAAAATAATATTATTTTCTCTGTTTACATTATGTGGCGTTAGCAGCGTCAAAATACAGAGAAAGAACACACTTAGCTTGGCTAAAGAATTTATCCTAAACAGTTGCAACTTTTATTCTTTCATTGATGCAGTTTACAACTTCCTCTCGTTTTTTTTTTTTCATTTCATCTCATGATCAAAGTGTGGTGGAGATACGATGAGATGAGGCGAGACAGACGCAGAAAACAAACAGACAAAGGACAAAGCTGTGTGTCTTGTATTTGTTTCAAGGTCACAGACTGATTGATGGTGGGCTTGTCTGAAAATAGACTGCTCCATTATTATTATGTCTGAAAAGCTCCCTACTTCCTGTCCCCCCAGATACAGTATACAGTAGTCCCTCTATTATCGCGGGGTTTATGTTTCACCCCCTCCCCCAGCAATAAGTGAAAATCACAAAGTAGGAACGCTATATTTAATTTAGTGTTCATATATATTTTAAGGCTTTATAAACCCTTCCTTCACTTTTGCAATGTTCTAAACTCTTAAACCTACGTCATATTAACGTATTGTACTGTACTGTAGCTACTGCAAAATTTTATATGGGTACTCACCAGCCTTGGTCCGGTTCTGGTCTGGTTCTAATCGGCTCTCTGCAGCCGTTGAGAACCAGACGCTTTTGGAGAGAGCAGGACCTTCGGAGAGCCGCACTAAGCCACACAATGGTCCCGATAGAGTCCAAAAAAACAGAGGAATCCGGACGAAAAATGTCCCGGTGAGCTCTGGATTAACCACCAGACCTCCAAGCAACACCTCCCTGCTCGAGAGGTTTCAAGGCCCGGCAAGCAGCATTCAGATTGACCGATGAGGCTGGAAGTAGTTCTGGTCCAATTCCCGGTCGGTTCTGTATGGCTCTCTGCATCCACTGAGCGCCGAAATAACTTTGAATATGACCAAACTTTTTAGTCAGTTTCGGATCGGATCAAAACTTTGCCTCCATTTTGGCAGAAAGCAGCGGCCGGAAGCACTGTTGCCTTCTGGGTAGTGTAGTTCTTTGACTGTCCTTACAGTGTAGGCTTATTGAAAGAAAACTACAAAATGGCGGCGCCTGTCCAAATTTTTTTCCATTAATTTTTTTTATTCCGTACCATCCCAATCACGTGAGTAATATTAAAGCTGACAATCGTTGAAAAACCGCGAAGTAGCGAGGGACTACTGTACACCAAAAACAAAGTTTAGTTGTTGCTTTTTTCCCATTTTGGAAAGCCTTTTAAAAAAATGTCAGGTTTTCACACCAAACACTTGAGCTGTGTGGAAGGGGGGTATGTACATCAGAAAATTCCATATTTATAAACATCTCGAGTAGTATAGACAAGGACTTTAACTGTTTTTACTGCTATCTACTGCAGGTAAGACACTGACGACTAACCATATCAACCGAAATCTATATTAAAACATCAGATCAGCTTTATTTGTTTAGACAAAAGTGCTGTAGTAAAAGTTTAACCTGAATTAGCAGAGCGCATGGCACCATCATTATATTTTTAATCCTCTAAGGGTTAAAAATACACCGTAACAAAAGTTAAGACTAACAAAGAAGCCACATGGAGCAAAGAATATGTTAAATGTGGAGGTAAATTAAAAACTATAACCATCTAAAGGGCTTTAAGGGGTGGCGTGGCGCCGCCTGAGTTTAACATCACAGACTTTCCTTTGTTTATCTCCCAACCCACAGATTACAGTGGGATCCAGCTGCAGGGATGCTGCAGCCACAGCAGCCTGACCAGCAATGGCAGTCTTCCAGGAGCAGGCAGCAACAGAAGGGACCGGGAACAATGCGTGGCCAGCTGGGCCACCTGCTTCGAGCGGCTTCTCCAGGACTCCGTGGGCGTGCGCTACTTCACGGTAAGCTTGGACAAAGTTGGACTTCATAAAAACTTCTTGTTGTTCTTGCAGTTGTTTTGTCAATCAGTTAGCTTGAAGCTACTCTGGGCCGTAGATTGACATAAAACAGTGACGTTAGCGCTCCTACATACAGATTATCTACGTCGTACATATTTTTTAAGTCTTGTTCTGGTTCCAAAATACAAATTAATTTTTCTAAAAACAAATGTCCTCATTAGCTAAAGTTTCAAGTATTTGGTTAATATTACCCAAAGTATCAAAGTTCATGCTCAATAATCCAATTTCAGTCATGTCCTCTGGACGGTTTCTTTTTTTTTTTGTTGAGATGTTTTGTCCTTCATCCAAAGAACTTCATCAGTTCGAGGAGCCACATTAAATTCAGTCCCATAAGTAGCACACTCACATAGTGGGCCAACCAGTTTGATGGTGATAAGATGGTTTCTGGAGTCCTCCCTCTTCCCCATCGACTCCTCTGAGGCAGCCATAGCCAAAGTGGTTCAAAACATCAAAGTTCATGCTCAGTAATCCAGGTAGAAAATCCCACAAAATTAAGTCAGGTCCTCTGGACAGTTTCTTTGTGTTGAAGCGTTTCATCTTTCATCCAAAGGACTTCACCAGCAGTTTTATTGCACATGAGCTTTGAAGTTTTGAACCACTTTGACTATGGCTGCCTCAGAGGAGTCGACGGGGGAGAGGACGGACTCCAGAAACCATCTTATCACCATCTAACTGGTTGGCCCACTATGTGAGTGTGCTGCTTGTGGGACTGAGTTTGTTATGACTCCTTGGACTGATGAAGTCCTTTGGATGAAAGACGAAACATTTCAACACAAAGAAACCATCCAGAGGACCTGACTGAACTTTGTTGGATTAGCCAAAAGTGTTTTTGATTAAATTTTGTACAGTTCAGATAAAAGAATCAACAGAATCAGGCGCAGACCTTTGGCGCTCCCCGTCCACGTCCACATCTACACACGTACCGCTAAAAATTTAGTGCGGTCTTCAAAAAGAAGCACCTTTGTTAGATTGAACCATCTCCTCCCACATGAAAGATATTTCATTGAATTTAGCCAGCAACACCTTTAGAAAGCTCAGCACCAAGTACTGTACTAACCCCCCCCCCCCACCCCCCCTTCGACTCCACTCGCCCACGCTGTCCCTGCGCCTACACTTACAATACAGCAGTCTTGTTACATTACACCCAATAATTTCTGCCCTCGCTAATGATCCCAGCAGCAGCGGCAGCGCTGGCAGGATGAGACGGCCGCTCTCACATCATGAAACTTTCTCGTGCGCTTCTTTCTGCAGGAATTTCTCAAGAAGGAATTCAGTGAGGAGAATATCTTGTTCTGGCAGGCCTGTGAATACTTCAGTCATGTCCCTGCAACGGATAAGAAGCAGGTAAAGTGCAGCCACAGATGGGGATTGAAATAAAAGGGGTAGTTTAGATATTTTGAGTTGTGAACAATTAACATCTTACCTGTTGCAGATAGCTTTCTGAACGACCTCGATTTGGCAAGAATAGAGTTTAGTTCTGATCAAGCTGACGAGCTAACGGCTAGCCTGAGAGAAGCCAAGACCATTGTTGATTGTGGCTGCCTTTAAATTAATCCAATCCTAAAACTAGAGAAATTGAATTTCCTGTGTAAATGCTTATTGCTGAAGAACTTGCTGGAAAACAACTGAAATTAGCTAAAAACATTCTGAAATGTAGCTGAAATGGAAGAACAAGCCTAAGTTAGCAGAATAAAGCAGAAAGAACACATATTTGCTGAATTGGGTTTAAATAAGCAGAAATGAGCACAAAAGTTAGGAAATTAGCTAAAAAGTATTAAATTAGCAACAACAAAAAAAAGTAGCTGAAGAGGCGGAAAAAAGTTTAAACTTCCAGAAGGAAGTGTAATGAGCTGAAATGAGCTAAAAAATGTGGAATTAGCTGAAAGAGCTAAATTTAGCACAAAAAGAGCTAAAAAGTAGCTGAAAAGCTGAAACTAGCAGAAAACGCTGAAAGGAGCATAACAAATTAGAAGAAAGTAGTTAGTTAGTTTGAAAGCAGCAAAAATTACTACGAAAAACTAGAATGTATCTGAAAACAGCTAAAATTAGCTAAAAACATGCTGAAATGTAGCTGAAATGGAAGAACAAGCCTTAGTTAGCAGAAGAAAGCAGAAGGAACACATATTTGCTGAAATGGGTTTAAATAAGCAGAAATTAGCACAAAAGTTAGGAAATTAGCTAAAAACAAGATTAAATTAGCAAAAAAAATAAAAAAATCTGAAAAGTAGCTGAAGAGGCGGAAAAAAGTTTAAACTTCCAGAAGGGAGTATAATGAGCTGAAATGAGCTTTAGAAATGTGGAATTAGCTGAAAGAGCTAAATTTAGCACAAAACAGCTAAAACGTAGCTGAAAGGCAGAAAAAGCTGAAACTAGCAGAAAAAAGCTGAAAGGAGCATAACAAATTAGAAGAAAGGAGTTAGTTGGTCTGAAAGCAGCAGAAATTACAACGAAAAACTAGAATGTATCTGAAAACAGCTGAAATTAGCTAAAAATGCAAATAAAGGTAGCTGAAATGTAAAACAAGCTTAAATTAGTAGAAGCGAGCAGAAAGAACATGTTTTTGAAAGAAGCGGGATGAGCTCAAAAAAGTTGAAATGATCTGAAAAGGCAGATCTTAGCAATAAACAGCTGAAAAGTTGCTAAAAAGGCAGAAAGAAGCGTAAATTATCAGAAGGAAGTGCAGAGAGCACATATTCGTTGAATTAGGCTTGCAGTTTTTGAAATGTGTTCAAAAATGTTGAATTACCTGAAAAAGTTCAAATTTGCAGAAAAGCAGCTAAATAGTAGCTGAAATAGCAGAAAAAGCTGAAACTTTCAGAAATAAGCTGAAAGGAGCATAACAAGCTGAAATGAGCAGAAACAAGTTAGAATTAGAACAAGCACAAAAATGTTGTAGCTATCAGAAATAATTTGAAAGGAGCTCAAAACAGCTGAAAGTAGCTGAAAAATAGTTTAGATTTGCACAAAGAAGCTGAAAGAAGCTGAAGCAGAACCAAATGTGAAAGGAGCAATAAAAGGTTGTAAACACATCTAAAGATTTGAAGGATGTAAAATGAGCTCAATTCATTTTCTATGAGAAACAACATGTGGCAGAAAAGGCTAAATATTTCAACAAGCTAAAGTGGCACCAATACCAAAAGTCATAGCAGGATTGTCCTGAAGGAGCTGAACGTTTTGTACGAGTTGTTGAAACAGCTTAAAAACTGCAGGACGAGAAAGAAGCGGAAAAACAACAAAATGGGTCACAATAGTGTGAATGCTTCATAAAACAGCTGTTGTTTCTGTTGATCTTTTTCAGTGTGAACGTTTATAAATCGTTTACTCTGGTGACATCCATTTTTCTTCCCTATGTTTTTCAGCATTAACTCAGTCTGCAGTTTTTGCACTATTTCAACAGTTCATGTATCGAAACATTCGACTCATTCAGGACATTCCTCCTGTGACTTTTTGTATTTGTGCAATTTTAGATTTTTGAAATAGTTAGCTTTGTCGGCCATGTTTTTCTCATTAAAAATGAATGGAGCTCTCTTGTCATCCTTCAGTATTTGTGCAGTTTGAAACATTTTACTGCTCATTTCAGCTGTTGTTCTGGTTCAGCTTCTTTCTGCTCAATTCATATATTTTTCTGCTTTTTCTGCAACTTTTAGCCTTTTTATGCTAATTTTTTGATATTTTAATTTAACCTTTTATGCTCCTTTCAGCCTATTTCTGCACATTTCAGCTTTTTAAAAGCTTTTTCAGCTCATTTCTTTTTGCCAATTTCAGATTTTTTTGGTAATGTTTTCAGCTTCTCTGCCTATTTCAGTTCATTCTGCTCATTTCTGCTACATTTCAGCTGCCGTTTTTCTTTCTGCTTTTATTTTCCTGCTTTCGGCAAATGTCAGCTGTTCAGATTCAACTCGCATCAACAGTTTAGCGCTGAAACCTTTTCAGCTGGTTTCAGCAAAAATGGTTCATACCGCATTTTCACAGGACATGCAGTGTTTCTAGTTAGCTTTGTTTTATTGACTATTTCAATGTCGATACTTTCATCATGACTAGCAACCACTCTATATACTACAGGTTGTTGTCCTACAAGCACACCAACACAGTTAAAAACAGAGTACATGAAAAACGTAATTAAAAACTAGTTATTGATTAGAAATGGACTTGTCATTTGTGTGCTTTTTTCTAATTTTTTTAAATTTTTAGTGCATATACCAACAGCAGCAGTTGGCTGTAGCACATCCTGCAGGGTTAACATACTATTTCTACTTAACTAGCAGAGTTTCTGGCTTGGTTTTGCTCTGACTAGTAGTTGTTAGCCCGTCAATCTGGTCAAAATCAAACTCAGAGCCATCCACAACAGGTAAGATATTGTTTATGAAGCACCACAAACCCAGCCTTGTAAGATCTGAATCATCTTCTTAAAATGCGGGCGGTTCCTGGTGAGACAAAACAAGAGATCCTAAATCATTTGTTTTTGTGTCATATAAGAAGTTGGACATATTTGGTCCTTCAGCATGGAGATATTTTTGTTCTCCACTACGTTAATACTCCTAAAACATTTTACGTGAAGGAGCAGCAGCCAGTCTTTCTCTACGCCTCTGACCGAGCCTTTTCCCAGCAGCTGTCCCAGAGAGCCGGGGAGATCTACAACAGCTTCCTGTCCAGCAAGGCCACCATGCCGGTCAACATCGACAGCCAGGCCCAGCTGGCCGACGACGTCCTCACGTCGCCGCGTCCCGACATGTTCAAGACCCAGCAGCTACAGGTACCGTCAACACAGCTGCTGGCTTCACGGAGTCGCACACATCTGGGTGTTCTGCTTGAATATGTCGTTGGGTACACAGTGAGACAGAGGAAGAATTCTGTGTCCGGCAGGGGTTTAGCTCTCATTTAGCTTTTAGTCGTGTTGTGGAAGCATATTGCGTTTTTTTTTTTTTCCTTTTTTTTGGGTGGCCATCTGGGTTTGTTTACAAAAACGCTCCGAGGCTTTACCAGAGAGATAAACACAAACTGGCACACACCTACAGAGAATGAATTCAGTGTGCAGTATACACACGCTGAGCCAAAGGTCCGTGCACTTTTAGGCTGCAGATGAACACGAGTGCATGTGAACGACTGAGCCCGCTGTCATAACGTCGTCACATGTTGTCTCTACAACTTCCTGTCTGCTGCTTCTCAACCTCACTGGATGCTGTTTGGCACCAAAGTCTTTTATTGTGTTGATTTCCTGGTTATTATTTTTTCCAACTTTTAATTCTTGTTTGTAAAAGCCTTTTTATTTTATTTTTTTCAATCCAACTGCTTCTGGTTACCTTTTCCTAGTTTACCAGTTGTTATCAGAACATTTAGCTCATTTAGGAAATGGATATTGTCTTTTGATCTTTGTAACTTTTAGACTTTAAAATAAAATAAAATTTATTTACAGATTATTTCCCCATAAAAATAAACCGAGATCACTTCAGTCCCTTCAGAATTATTTTTCTCTTTCAAACCTCTTTCTCAATATTGTTGTTTTTGTCTTCTTATGTTAATTTTAGCTTTTAGCTAGCCTTTTGCTACTTTTAATTTTTAGATAACGTACTACTTTTAGCTGTGTTAGCTAGCCTTTTAATACATTTAGCTTTATTTTTTTGCTACTTTTACTGTTTTGCCAATGTTTAGCTACTTTTAACTTTGCTAGTCCTTTACTACATTTAGCTTTAGCTGGCCTTTAGCTACTTTTATTTACCTTTTTGCAGCTTTTAGCATAAAGCTAGCCCTTTCCTAATTTTAGTTAGTTTTGGTGTACTTTCAGTTTTTAGTTAGCCTTTTATTACTTTTAGTCTTTAGCCAACTTTTTCTACAAAGTACTTTAGCTTTCTTTTTGTTACCTTTACCTTTTAATTAATATTTAGCTGTCTTTGGCTTTTAGCTGCCTTTTTGGAATTTTTATAAGCCTATTGATATTTTAGATTTTAACTTGTCTTTTAGCAAGTGGTTTACAATATTTAGCTTTAACCTATTGTTTGCTACTTTTAGTTATTAAATAATGTACTACTTTTAGCTGTTAGTTAGCTTTTTGATACTTTTAACTCTTTTTCTTTTTGCTACCTTTACAGTTTAGCCAGTGTTTAGCTACTTTTAACTTTTCGCTAGCCTTTACTACATTTGGCTTTAGCTAACCTTTTGCTACTTTTAGTTATTAAATAATTTACTACTTTTAGCTGTTAGTTAGCTTTTTGATACTTTTAACTCTTTTTCTTTTTGCTACCTTTACAGTTTAGCCAGTGTTTAGCTACTTTTAACTTTTCGCTAGCCCTTTACTACATTTAGCTTTAGCTAGCCTTTTGCTGCTTTTAGCTAACTTTTAGCAGCTTTTAGCATAAAAGGCCTTTTGTTGCGTTTTGCTTTTAATCGGCCTTTTGCTACTTTAGCGTTTAGCTTGCTAGTTAATACATTTAGGTTTATCTAGTATATTACTCCTTTTAGCTAGCTGTCTGCTTGTAGCATCTTTTAGCCAATGCTGTGCTTCTTTTAGCTTCTAATTGCTTCAGCTTCAGTGCTGCCCTCAGAGATTATTTCTCAGGTTTTGCTCGTCTCGCCTCCTCAGATCTTCAACCTGATGAAGTTCGACAGCTACTCGCGGTTCCTCAAGTCCTCCCTCTACCAGGAGTGCCTGCGTGCCGAGGTGGAGGGTCAGCCTCTGCCGGAGCCCTTCCAGATCCCGTGCAGCCCCGCGCCCTCCAAACACAGCGCCAGCTCCGACCGCTCCACCCTTTCCACTCCCAAAAAGGTACCTCTTAAAATCAACGAGCCGTACGTGGACTGGTTCTGGTGATGGGCCTGAAAGGTGAAATCAACATTTCTCTCCCTCATCCCCAGGAACCAAGAAAGCAGAAACCCGGGAAGTCGCCGAATGAAGACAGCAGCGAGAGCGCAGACAAGAAACGGGGGATTTTCTTTTCGTGGTCCCGTAACAGGAGCTTTGGGAAGGGTCCAAAGAAGAAGGACATTGGGGACATTAATCTGGGTGAGGATTATTTTTTATTTCAGACGTGAAGCAGTCTCGTTTATCAACCTGCTCATCTTCTTGTTGTTGTGCAGACTATTACAGCAGTAACGGACGCAGAGAGTCCCAGGGTTCCTTATCGTCCAGCGCCAGTCTGGAGATCCCCATTTCTAGTTCTACGGCCAAGATCGAGGTAAGATTTCTCTGTTGAGGTCTCCATGGCAACACAGAGCCCAGAGTCTGGTGAAGCCAGAATTAGTTCTTTCTACCTCTTAAGCTTGCTCACTTTTAGTTTCTGAATCGTAACAAGAGAACAAAGAGTAAATTGAAGATCTTTGTGAATCTCGCGTCCTCAGTCGGATAACCGCCACTCGGTCGGAGCGTGGGAACGCTCCCCCAGGCATTGTAGCGTGCTGCTGCCCGACGGTTCCTGCTCCTCCATCACCCTTCGGCCCGGCGCTTTCATTCGAGAGGTGCTCCAGGATCTGTGTCGCAACATCAGTGTCAACATTGCTGCTGTTGACCTTTTCCTGGTGGGAGGAGAGAAGGTGGGGAGCGTGCTGGGATGTTTGGTGTTGGGTCACTGTGCGATGACTGTACAGTACAAATAATTTCTCATGGTTTGTCTTCCCATTGTAGCCTTTAGTGTTGGACCAGGACTGTATGACCCTCTGCTCACGAGACCTAAGGCTGGAGAAGCGTACTTTGTTCAGGTACAACGCACTGCTCCGTCCAGAGGACCTGACTTAACTTTGTTAGATTTTTCTACCTGGATTATTGCGCATGCATCAGGATGCACTGATCACAGATTGATTGATGATTTTTGCAAAGCTCTGATCTGCTGATACCAATTTTGTCCAACTCTAATTTCTCTTGGAAAAAGTATAATTAACATTTTACTTTTTATAGTAAAATTATTACCAAAGATCCAAAGACAGTAGCTTTCAAACATTTGGTTGTTATGCATGATGATTGATTGGTTTTGGACGGATGGTCCCTTTTTGCACATGTAAAGCCAGTGTCTTTGGATTCCACAGAGGGTTGGCTTGAAGCACATCCAGGAGGTGAAGGAGGTGCTATTTACAGTATAAGACAGATCTGGTTGGCAGACCTCAGATTGATGAAGTCTTTCAGATGAAAGCCGAAACTTATCTACCAAAACTAAACTTGTCCAGATGACAAGATTTAACCCTTTTTGTGTTTTAAAAACAAGTGATGTACCAACTTCCTTTTTGGTGTGTGGTTGCATCTAGGTGTAA